CACTAATTTCACCTATCAACATTTTGATAATGGTTAGATTAGATTGTGTGATTTTATAACATGTCAACCCTTGGCTTTTTTAACATTGAAATTTTTATGGAATAACCATTGAATATCAAACTCACTATTCAGTAGTAATGATCAACCAGACCAGCCTTCTTCACTATTACCTAACACTGAGGTACCTTCAATAATAATTAACCCAAACAACAATAGATAAAATAACATATACATCATTTTTAACAGAATATTGAATTTCTTCTCTGATAAAAGTTTTTATGTTGTTTTGATTCAGACTGTCTATAACTCAAATCTTAATATTAAGCTTTATTACAAAAAGCCACTTTTGTTTTTGTTATCTTACCATATGAAAACATGATGCTTTCATATCATTTATTGTGCCTTTTAACTGGCAATTATCAGCAGTAGCTTCTTAATGATCATAAATATTTATTATTTCAGATTTTTAATGCTTTATGTCTAGATTTTGTTTGCTTCATTATATGGATCTGGTCTTTTTAATTTGGTTCTAACATAACACTTTTCCCTTCAACCTTTGCAGTAACAAATGTTTTTGTTCTTTTTACAAAATTTTGTTACTAAATTACTTTCTTTATAATGGCTAACTAGAGTTCAATTAACATAAGTGAGTAAAAGTAAGCCATTTCTCCTGCCACTCTCATTAAAACTTTAGAACTAAACTTAATGGAAAAATTCTATTGATTCTTTTCTTTCCATAAATAGTATTTTTCTCATCAGCAGAGAAAAAATATATACAGGTCCTAACAATTGTTTATAGATAATGTGAACATTAAAGGGAATATTGTTTTAAAAACAAAAAATGATATTAAGATACACTGATTTTATGTTGGCTGTGAGACATGATAAAAAGATTAAATCATTCATTTCAACATTTTTATCATTACTAAAAAAATTTTTTTCCTAAACTTAGAATATGATTTTATAAAGTCTGTGTAATTTTAAATACTTATAATTTTCTAAGTATGCACAATAGAATTAATTGATAAAAAAGATAAGAACTGGATTATCATTGACAAAACCTGTTTCTATAAACTTTTTCATCTACTTAGTTATGGAATTCCTGTGTGATGCTTCTTCATTATAATGAATACTAAACATTTTTGAACACTAGTGACAACCAACATAAAAAACACAGTTTACTTACTCTTCTAGTGAAGCATTGGGTTCTGAAGAAAAAACAAAAGAGTCATTTTGAAATTTCAAAGGAAGGATAAAGCACAGTAGGTAAAAAGAACAATAATCAATTTTTCAAATAACATGAAAAATCTAGACACATCAAATATATAAATATTTTTACATATTAATTGTATCACAAATAGCCCCAAATCTTTATAAAAGTATTTAACATTGCACACAGTTTCTATAAACTCTCTGTATATATATTGCTGTGTATTATGATGGTCTTTAATTTTACAACCCAGTAATTGTATTAGTTGTCTTATAAATTTGAATACTGAATAAAAGCTATTTCTTTTTCAGTGTCATAGAAAAATATAATAACTACATTCAGAACATTTGAATATATTTTGTTTACTAGCAACTCAAATAATTATTTTAATAAAAATTTTATTCCCAAATCATTTTTTAAGTAATTTAACATGGACTGAAATATATAATGGTGCAGGTATGACATAATAATAATAGAAATTTGTTATTTTTTCTTTTAGCATTTGCTCATATATTTATATGAACATTGAAATAAATAAAAAGGGCAATTCTGCAGATGCACAACCAAAACACATTTCTATTTTCAAACGAAAGCCAAACAAGAAATATGCCATGATTGCCTTCACCCTCATTTTATTCCAGAAGGTTAGAACATTTACTGCTCCAAATTATTCTTCACAACATAACCAGAAATCCATAATGTGTGATAGTGAAATTGCTGGTGACTCTAATAAAATTCTTAAGTCTATACTATCCAGACCTGTACTTGTCTACTGTTCAAAAAGTGGGCAAAGAACACTTGACTGAAAAATGACTGTGTGCCATAGATATAGAATTTGACCACTATTTAAATTTCTTCCTGCTTTCTTTGTAGAATGTAGATTGATTTAAAAAATGGTATTCTTCTGGCTGTTCTGCTTCTTGGGATATAGATACCATAATATGCTTCTTGAATTGATCTGAACACATTCTACTACATCAGTAGCCTTTCAACAGGAATTACTTTTTTTTAATTTACTGTCTCTTTCCAAGGATGCTTCTTTTTTTTTCTGAAAGAAGCACCATTGTTTCCCTTCTTTTGTTGCTAAATTAGATGATTATATTTGAAGGTAGGATGAAAAGTCCATAGGCTGACTATGAAGGAGAAATGCTAGAGCTGTGAAATCTTGCATGCATTAATTTCAACACTTCTTATTAATAACTGTATTGATTTTTTTTCTTTTTCAGATAAACTTATATATGATTGTTCAAAGAAGACTTCATATTGTTGGTCAAAAAAGTCATCAACAGCAGATATGATGTCATCATAACTGCAATACTGGTTCCTAGCCAAGTGTTTTTTTCATGTTGGGGAACAGGTTATAGTCAAATCGGGAGAATAGGGAATGTGATCAATAGTTCAAAGCCACAGTCATCCACAACAGCCATTGAAACCAAAGAGTTGTTTCCTGGAGCATTGTCCTGATGAAGCAAGACCACTTTCATCAGTGTTCCTGGGCATTTGATCTTGATAGCCATTTGTAACTGCCTTGGCAAGTTGGCATAGTACTCTCCATTGATGGTGGAGCCCTATTGAAGAGAGTCAATAAACACAATGCCTTTTTGAATCCCAAAAAACTGAGGCTATCACCTTCCCTGCAGATGAAACAACCTTGGCCTTTTTTGTAGCAGGTGAAGAGGGGTGTTTCCACTTCATGGATTGTCTCTGACTCAAAGTGATGGACCCATCCTGGGATATGAATTGTTCAAGGAAACCTGCTAGATCTGCCTCAAGCAATATCAGATTTTCCTGTGATGTGATCAGTATGGTGTGCTTTTGATCTGGTATCAGAAGATGTGGCACCCACTGAGCAGAAACTTTTGTCATGCCAAGTTCATTGGGTAGAATATTCTCAACTGTCTCATGGGATATGCTAATAGCATTGGTTAGTTGATTTACAGTCAATTGCCTGTCATCCATCACCATGAGGTGAACACAATCAATGTTTTCCTCGGTGGTGGCAGTGGCATGTTGTCCAGACCTCGGGTCATCTTCAAGGCTCTTCCTTTCCCTCCTAAATTCAGCTGACACTTTTTGCACTCTTGATATAGCTGGAGTGTCATCTCTAATGTAGCAACCATTTCAGTATGAATGTCCTTGGGAGCCATACCTTTTTTCTGCAAATAACACCAAGGTGCCAAATTTTATCCATTTTCAAGAGAAGTTGCTACTAGTTACTTTTGTAGTTTTTGAACAGTCAGATTCCAGTTTATCTGGAAAAAAACAATGCATTTATTAATAAAAAGAGTTGAAATTAATATGTGCAAGATGTCACAGCTCTAGCATTACTCCTTTATAGTCAGACTATGAAGTTTTCCGGCCAGCCTCATAATTTTCAGATGATAATGAATTTCCTAATTTCAATCTTATATGACAATGGCTCATAAATATATTTTCAATAGTCTTACTGTATGTTACAGTGATATAAACAAACTATCAATGTGTGTTTCTTTTTTTTTCCTGTCAGTCTAGAAGCTTGAGTGCTGTTGAGGCATGAAAACACTTTATTATACAAGAACCAAAATTTTCAATATAAAGTGAAAAACTGTCCCTGTTTGAGATTTAGAAATTATGGTAAGCCTATCAATAATCAGTCAACAAAGTGATGTGAGTTGATCTAGTGAAAATCCAAATAAAGGACATACATAAAAAATTCTTTATTAATCTTTTGTCAGATTTCAAACTGATCAGTACATTTAGGCCTGCGATTGAAACTACATTAGTTATATAAATCGTAATTTTTTTATCATCCAAAGTTATTCAACTTGTTTTATCCCTAAGTGCCTTGGCATGAGGTAAGGTCTAGCCAGCTGATCATTATGACTGAATAGTGAGTTCAGTCTTCAAGGATTGCCTTATACTTATCTTGCTTAGCAAATAGCGACTTCCTTTTATTCATTAGTAATCATACTTTGGGCACTTCCAAGTGGTGTAATGTTTAGTAAGTTTGTCTCACTAGATAAATGATGACTGAATAGTGAGTTCGATCCTCACTGAGTGCCCATACTTTGGTCTTGTACTATATCTAAGCTATGCTTAGAAAATCACCATTAGTAACCATACTTTCCATTTACATAAAGGTTTTAATTTAATACCAAAAGCAAGATTTCTTAGTTTGGTATTTTTTTTAGAAAAGTAAACAAATGTGTATATTTAACTTAAAAATTCCATCATATATTTATTTACTGCCTACCTTATATGCAATTCTAGAATGTCATATTAAAATAAAGATAAAATGACAATTTCAGTAATTCACATTTAGCCAGATATTTTGTTTCAATGAGTCCTGTTACTGAAACACTTTAGGATTATCATCATATCTGATAAAATTGCAATTAAAAGCCTAATTTTTCATTTCTTTTGAAAATGCTTATTTTGAGATTACTTATTTTTAAATTGCTTTATTAAATTTGTATGCAGTGATGATAATAAAGTAATTTGATGTTTACCTGAGGAGATTGCTCCAAAGTTTCTTATAATTTTTTTTAGCAGTACAAGGTGATCATGAGCAAAAAATAAGCCTTCATATGGTGACATCATCATCAAAGGCATTTTTATTTCATGTTACTTAATATGTTCTTAGTACAACTTAACTAATATAGTGAGGGAAATGCATGCACACACATGTGTTTATAACTTATCAGTTTATTTCTTGAATATTTTTACAAGTACATTATGTATAATATATATTTTAAAATCCAATCTCATTATTTTGTATTTTATATGCTGACTTTTTCTTTTCTTTTTACAGGTTGAACTTAACTGGGATAAAGTCAGAACCAAAATGGACTTTGAATATCAGAAGGAAAAAGAACATTTTTCAACAGCTAAAGCTTGACATGTCTTTATGGGAAATTTCTGTTCACCAGACTTGCCTCAAAATATAATATCACTATCTTTGAAATAACTCAAAATGATGTACCATTTCATCTTTCCATTCTTTTGTCTTCTCTCATTTTCTAATTCACTGGTAAATTTCTTCTTTATACTTCACTCTTGTTGCATTGAGTATCAGAGCAACTGCTCAGTTTATTCAGAAAACAATAATCTGTCATTTAAATATGTATATTGCAAGTTAAGTGGCACCAGTCATCAAACAAATTTGTTAGTCATTTAAGCGAACATCAAACTAATAAATTGAAGCCATTGACTAAAAATATTACCATTGTTGTAACAGATACTTTATGCAATGAAAATAGTTTTATAATAAATAATACTTTGTTGTCAGATTTGTTTAAATAATTATGGATACTTTTTGATTAAATGTCAAGATATTTTCATGTTGGATATATCAAATGTCTGTTCATTTTACACATAGGATTGTTTCTGGAGCTAAAATAATAGAAACTTCCTAAGCTGTTTTCAAGGTGTCTTTTCTCTTGGTCAACATCATAAAAACACTCACAAATTTGTGCTTGATGTCACAATATCAGCTTGTATTTTAATTTATTACTAAAATTTATATAGAACTTTCCAGTTTGTAATCACTGAAATAGATAATTATATATATATATATATATATATATATATATATATATATATAAAGGGAATCATAATAAATAAATTCATAAAATTAAAGGTTAATATGTTTTAATATTCAATAATTCTAGAGTCATTATTGACGAAAAGAAAATATTAACTGAAACATATTTTATAAAACATAAAATCTATATTTTATGATAAAGATTTTATTTATATTACTGGTAATAATTAATTTTGATAATCTTATAAAATCTGTTTAGCATTTATTGTAACAAAAAAAATTAAAAGTAATTTTTTCTACTGATTTAACTCATTCTAAGCAGGAAAATAGAATAAAAAATTATTTAAAAAAAATTGTTATGTTGTATTTAAAAAAAAATCATAAGAATTTATTTACTTAGTTTATTAATGTGTTTTCTAGCTATTTCAGTTTCTGTTTTATTTTAGAAATCATTGTAGAATAATTTACCTTGCAAGCAAATTTTCTATTCATCTAGTATTTATATTATCTGCCTCATTTTTTAAAATTATTATTATGAATACAATTATTGAAATATTTATATGACTGTATTGACTTTATCATTAACGGTCTAAACAAATATTTATAATAAATCTAATTCAAATAATTACAATTATCACATGGGATTTTGTAAAATAGTACTTTGTCATTTTGAGTTTGGCAATCCAAAGAAAGATTTTTAGCTCTACCCACCAAAATTTGACTGAATAATCAAACATCACAATTTGCATTTTTTTAAATTTCTTCTTGGTCAAGCCAAACACTTTTCAGCACCTCTTTGGTTTAGCTGCAGTAATATTTATATACTTTTTTTCTTTTTTTACTAATTTGAATTAATTTTCAAACAGTAAGTGGTTTAAAATAAGCTTGTCATCTGTTATAAAATTGGCTATATATGAATTTTGTATGACTTTCACTGACCCTATACGGCACATATATTCATGCATTCAACATTAAATCTTTTGAAAAATACTCCAGCTCATAGAAAATCTTAAAACATTATACTGTTTGATATATTTTACTTACAGCAAAAGTCTCTTCAATGAAAATATTAGCATTAATTAGTTCAAGGATTACATAATATGAATTTGGAAAGAGTGTTTTTTTTCTTCTGTTATTTCATTATAAATATATTCTGTAGAAAAATTACGTGGTCGAGATAAAAACTCAGTTGTGGAGCAAGCTAAGTGAATAATAATTCAACCTTGAGAAAGAGCTATTTATGGTGCAATGGAGCATCTCATTGTGCTAAAGTGGGATAGTCCATTGCTTGGGCTGTGAATAGCTGCTGGTACCTGAGTGGAGGTATTTCTATATAAATACCAGCTTGATTCAGTTAGTTTGCAGGGTTTGTATTAAGTTACAACCTGCTTTATTTTTGTCTGCCAGCTGGACGCTAGCTGGGACCCTTACGCCGGTAAGTGCTGTTTATTGTATTGTTATTCTATATCTCCTTTCCCCCTATCGCATGTGGGTAGTGGCCTTTGGGGAGGGATGAGTTCCTTTAAACCTGGCTGGTTGTGTGGAAGTAGTCTGGACAATGCCCGAGGGGGTTTTGTCCATGTTATTGTAGACGGCTGAGCAGTGTTTGATGTTATTCCAGCGTCAAATGTTTGTGGCACTGGTGTGGGGTCTCAGGTAAGGCACTAGATCTTGGAACTGGAATTGTTGGTGTATCCAGTTTCCTGAGGAATCGGCCGATTTAAATGAAGGTAATTCTACCTGATCCGTCAACTCTGATACGGTATTGGTGGTTGGGGAGGGTTTCAATGACCTGACCTGTTGTGTCTCATCAGTGGGTTGACGGCCGTTGTAGTGCCACTATTTGTCCTTTATGAAGGGGGTTTAATGTGTGTGCTGTTCTATTGTATCGCTCTATGAGATGAGCGTTCCGCCGGGACAGACTTATCTCGTGATTTTGGGCTGCAATTATCCAATTCGCGTGTGGCTTATAGAGTGTGGGGTGGGGTGGGATGGTATGTATTCATGTAGTTGGCGGTGGAGTAGTAGTTGTGCAGGAGATAGCCCAATGTTTTGAATAGGCGTATTCCTGTATGGGAGGATGGCTCTTGCTGTACGATTATTGTCCAACGATCCTTGGGCTCCTGTGTTGCCATTTACGATTCTCTTGGCTGTTTTGACAGCAAGCTCTGCCCGACCATTGGATTGTGGGTAACCAGCAGATGATAACCTGTGTTTAACAGCCCAGTCTTGTAAAAATTGCTTGAATGTAAGGGATGTGAAGGGTGGCCCACCATCAGTGCTGAGTTCCTCGGGAGCACCGTAGGCTTGAAATATGTCTCGGCAAATTGAAATAATCCTTGATGCATTAGCTTCTCCATGGCTCAAGTGGTATAGATTTAGCCAGCCTGTTAACCTGTCAGCGCATGCTAAGTAACCATGGTTCCCAACATGGAAGATGTCCATGACAATTTGCTGAAATGGCCAATCAGGTGTCAAATTGATTGGCTCTTTTGGTTGACTCGGGGCAATTTTTGAGCAGAAAGTACAACCTGCTCTAATGTTACATATTGAAGCATTCATCCCGTGCCAATAAACAGATTCATTGGCACGTACCTTCATGCCAACTTCACCTTTGGTGTGCAGAATGTAGGCTATGTAAGTCTTTTTTAAAATTGAGAGGTGGGGATAAATTCTTTTGATCTAATAGCACTAATCCGTCATCAACACTTAGGGCGGTGCCTCACTTCCCTGTATTCACGGATTTCGGTGCAGTGATGCTGCGTCCTTTGGAATCCATTTCAGACATTTCAATTAATTTTTTTTGTATTAAAAAGCTCGTCCCCGCCGCACGGATAACGCCTGGTGAGATGAGCTCCAGGTTGTCATTTGCACCGAATGTTGCTAATAGGGTTGTTGATTTGACCCAGTCATCCATGTTGTCAGACTCTATGATGTCTGATTGAGAGGGTTCAGCAGTGAATATATTTAAGAGTGCCTGTGAGATGTCTGCTGGGTTGCGAGACAGCATTGGAGGCTCTGTGCCATTTTCCAGGGCAGTGCTGAATGGTGAATCTGTACCTGAGGGTTTTCTCCTTTAACCTGAATAATCGGGGTTTTGGATTTTACTAAGGTCTCTATCTCGAATAATTCTTTTAGTGGTTCATGATCTGTAACCACTATGAGATTCGGCAACCCATTACAAAATGCGACATTTTTCCAATGCCCACGCAAATTGCTGCTGCCTCGCCTTCAATAGGTGCATATCTGCGTTCAGCTTCAATGCAGAATCTACTACCAGCAAATATCAGGCGCCAACCTTCAGGGCAGCAAACTGGGGCTTTGTCGGTGGTGCATGAGCAATACTTCTGTAGAAAAAAGCCCATTCCGTCTTTGCTCCAATCTGGGCGAGGCAGGTTATTCATTCTTTTTCAAATGTTGCAATGCCTTTTTGAACTAAGTCAACTATGACCTTCTTTGAATGCTGGAATGCATCCTCAAGGCTTTTATTCCATATAAAGTGTGAGTCTCGTTTGACGAGATCACGAAATGGAAGCATGACTGGGCTCAGTGAGTATGCCCAAGCGACTTGGTTGACCAGACCAAACCATGATCTGGCATTGGTGAAACTGGATCCCGCCAGCTAAAATGTCCAGCATGGGGAAAAACATGTAGTAATTGTGGGAAGCCCAATCACCTATCGAGGGTATGCCGGGCTAAGAAACTGGCTCAAGCGGTAAGGAAAAGCCCAGAGGCTAATGAAGCTGCCATGGACACACTTATCGCCCACATTACATTCAATCAAACGACGGGCACGTATACATCTAAAGACACAGGCCAGGTAAGGGAGATTGATGCATATGTTCCATTCTTGCCAAAATCGGATCCCAGACAACTTAAGAATATTCCCAGCAATCACAGCACTAGGATGACGATCTTTCCTGACAGTGGGGCCACCATATGTCTCGGGGGAATTAAACACCTTCTGAATATGGGGCTCACTACCAACAACCTCATTCCATCAAGAAAAGTCATCCGAGCTGTGGGAGGCTTTACACTCATATGTCAGGGTTGGCTCGCCGTGGAATTCATCGTCCAAGGAAGAACAACTAAACAAGCCCTATACATATGCAAAAAGATCCAGCGGCTATACTTCAGCAAACCAGCCTGCATTGACGTAGGGATACTGTTGAAAGACTTCCCGAACCCGACGACTACAATATTACCCCAAACAGCAATGCAACACATGCCCTCGACAAGCACACATAAAAAATCAGACGCGAGCCCTAAACAATGCAAAGTCGAGGGACAACTTCCAACGTGCCCCCCAAAAAACCCTTATATTTTGTCTGCCAGCTGGACGCTAGCTGGGACCC